TTATTATTATTATTATTATTATTATTATTATTATTATTATTATTATTATTATTATTATTATTATTATTATTATTATTATTATTATTATTATTATTATTATTATTATTATTATTATTATTATTATTATTATTATTATTATTACTATTATTATTATTATTATTATTACTATTATTATTATTATTATTTATTATTATCATCGTTATTTCTACCATTATTATTCAGACACTGAATTTTGTTAAAATAAACAGTGAAATTTTTTTTTTTAATGAACGTTTATACAATGAAATGCGTATACGTTGAATATTCTGAAAATTTCGGTGAAGATCTCTAATGTATAGGACTAACGTGTTTTAAAATATATATATGCAAAGATTTTTGATATATTTGAAAATATATTTTTAAAGAAAGAGAAAAAAACATAGAGTATGACAGGCGCTGTGTCAAAATTTGTTTTTTTTTCCATTTAGAAGATGAAGCATTTTTATAAAATCATATGATTTTCAAAATTTCAAAAATTTTTATTCTAACAATTTATTGCTAGAAATTTTTTCAAATACAAATTAGCAATTTTGGAAAACATGATTTTTTTATTTGTAAAAAAAGCAAAACTCTAATGCATTTGGTAAAAGTAATTTCTGCCACGTGAAGTATTACTGTGAAGTAATGAGAAGGGGTACAACTTCTGAAGCTAGCTGAAATAATGGTAATTATTTCATATTACAATAAGTAAGAATCAAGTATTTATTAACTTAATAATTGCCTTTTTTTAATTTGAAAGCATGGAAAAGAAGGAAAGTTGAGGTTTCAAATAAAACTTTTTTATTCCCACCAATAACAGTATTTGTAATTTGCGATTATTTTTTGGTAAAGTAGTAAACATGGAGAAAGATCTGTGGAAATATATGAATTAAATGATTAACTGATAATTGCAATTGGCATAAATTTATTTCCCATTTCTTTTCCACCCCTTTCCTCTTTTATTTTTTCTTTCTTTTTGCCTTTATATCACACAAATTTTAAAACAATTCTTCTTCACTTTATACCGTCCCAAAATCAAAATATTTTTATGTTTGTTGTTTGCTATGTCATGCCTTTTTCTAATTTTCTTTCTCTTTTTTTGGCAACTATTCCACCTGTTTTTCCGCAAATTTTAGGACAATTGTTGTAAATTTGTTGGAAAAAATTGCTGGGATAGTTTCTATTTCATTCCTTTACTTTACTTTACTTTCACCCTTACTTTTACTTCTACTTTATTTTGCTTTTTTTCTACTTTACTTTACTTTCCTTTACTTTGCCTCGCTTTACTTTACTTCTCTTTCCTTTTCTTCGCCATGAACCGATTTATAACATTTGAACGAATCATTACATTTTAGAAGTAACTGAAGAAGACAATCAACTAGTTGAATTATTCTTGCAATAACGAACTAATAAGCATTTTTATCGTCACAGTTCATTCCCTCCATCCACTCCTCAACTAACTTCTCCACCCATTTTTTCAACCCCACTCCTCCACTTACCCCTCAACCTACTTTCCGCACACTTATTCACTCACTTTTTCGCCCACTCTTCCACCTACTTTACCGCCCAATCACCTCATCATTCACACATCTTTTTGTTATATCATTTGTTTAATATTCATTCATTTTTTAATTCCCTAATTTCAGTTTTTCTTCCCTTCCCTCTTCCCCCGCCATTCCGCCTCCTCCTTCTTTCCGCCTCTTTTCCCTTCGTATTTTGGTTTATTGGAAATTATTCATTCACATCACATAGATTATTATTGTTCCACTTGTAAACGTCATTTCCCAAACTGTTTTGCTCCCATTCAATAACGGTAAAACAGAAACACTTTTCGATCATTGATATATTGAATGATTAATTTGAATTTCATTTCGGTCATTTAATTTAATAATTTTAGATTGAATAAATGTTAAGTATTATATGTCAAGCATTCATTTATTTATTTTTAGAATGATAAGTTTGGTAAATTGTCAAGAAAAAGTTCTGGATAATATTTAAATATAGCTATTGTTGGCAAATATTTGCAAAATTTTTGACGGTAATTTTTTCTTTCAATTTTAATTTTGAACATAGAATGGACCAATGAACAGATCGTTCTAGAATAAATATTAAAAAGTTAGCATTAACAGATTAATATGTTTAACACATAACAGTGTTAAACGTATTGAAAATAATTATGGTATTGGATGATTGTTAATCATTACAATATTATTATTTCAAGGTTTTTAATATTCATTGGATTTGTTTACTCAAAAATGTCATTACAAATTCTTTATCTTACCAATGTCATATGAGGACAGTAAACAAGTAGGTAATATCTTTGTTTTACTTTTCATTTCTTAATTACTATACCATTTCTTATAATTATTTAAAAAAAATTTTTTGCAATCTGTTTTGCCTAGGGAAAAGTACTTACTTATTATGATTCACTCGTTTTTGAATTCGAGTATTTTAACAACTTTTGTTTCCAAATTAAAAAAGAAATTATTGCTATGAATAATTGTGTTGCCATTTATGTTTTAAGATGATTACTTGTATCAACCAATAATATATTGTAAAGGTAATTAACAATAATCATTTCTGATATTTCTTTGAACGTTGAAGATATTATTTACAGCCACTTGATGTACCCATAACTAAATTATAATAAATTTTGAAAATGATACTGCTACAAATGAATACAGAAAGTTCCTGATGATAATGGGTATAGAAACTATATTTTTATGTTGAAATTTAATTTGGTAGCCAGATTTTTGTTATTTAAACATTTATTTCACTTGGCAATTTCGATCTTAAAATTAATATTTCAATTAAAAGCATAAAAATATATGATTGCATTGACGATTTGCAATTCTGAGGAATTTTTTTAAAATCCATAACAGAATGTTCCCGTTTTCATGAATCATACTTTTCGCTTCTAAATGAAAAAAAGTATTCCATTTCCTTTTTTTTTAATTAATCACTTGCTCTATTATATATTTTTAAACTACCTCTTTTTTTAATTTGTCGTCTCTTTTACCTTTTATCTTCATTTTACTTCGCATAATTTTTTGGCACAAATGTTCATTTCACCTTATTTTTTTCTTGGCTCGAAATAATACTTCAAATTATTGCTGCAATAAAAAGTAAGCTGAAGGGCTTTGTAATATCATTATCAAATAATTGAATAATTTTGCACAAATTTCTCTTTTTTTTTTTTATAAATTTGTCCAAATACAAATAAATATGTCAATACTTGTTCATTAAACCAATGAATTATCAGCTTACCGGCTTACTTAAAGTTGTTTCCAATCAAAAATTTCCACAATTTTACCACTTTTTTAGATCTTTTTTAATTGAAAGTTATGCTAATTGTAAAATACAATATTGAAATAAATAATGAACGCACAGATAAAAATCTAAAATGCAAAGAAAAATGAAAGTATCAAAATTTATATTATTACCAAATTTCTTGCCATCAACTCATCACTAAGTTATCAATTTCACGAATACTTTTTCCCACTTTATATTACTTACTGGTTTACATTTTTTGTTAAATTTCTAAAGGTAAGGATATCCTATAAGTACACCATTGCATTGGTTCCAAAAAAACGGAACTAAAACCGGTTCGTTTCGGTATTTCGTCCATAAATAGCAACAATTTAACAGTATACCAGTAGCAAAGCGCATGTTTCGTTAAAGTAAACACTTCATTTCGGCACGATATTTCTTCAAACAATACGACAAATTCTGAAAACAAATTCTTCGATTTTATTAAATCTTTGGCCAAATTTTTATTTTTACTTAATTTACAATAAAAATTAAGCATTGAAACAAAGAAATATATCGCAAAAACTTCATCGTTCTCACAGGTATTTACTTATTACTAAATTCCTATATTCAACTCATTTTGAATTTATTGCAGAAATACTTGAATTCTCTATTCAGGATGAATCCATGCTACTGTTATTAAATCTTTTGATGCAATTATCAATATTTGATATTCATAATATTTTATTAAGTACACTTAGATTCGACCCTTTAGCAATTAATAACACAACTACGTATCATTTTCCCTAAATCGTCATTTGACTAATTCAAATTTCTAAAATTTCTTGCATAAAACTATTGATTAAATCGATTGGCATATTTTTGTATCCTATCAACTTTATCGATTAATTAGCCAGTTAATATTAAATAATTGTTAATTACAACTTCATGACAAAATTTTTGTTGTTGTTTCCTTCAATTTCAATATTTTTTTTCTTCCATTTGACACTTTTTGTTTACTTATTCATAACCTTTTCCAGCAACTTTTTTGGAAATTTGTAACCATTTTGTTACAATATTCCGCCTTTTTTTTGAGATCTTTTCCTCTGAATATTTTGTCTTCCTTAAATTACCATTGGTTAACTCAGTTAATTAAAATCAATAATTACCAGTATATCTTATTACGCTGTGAAATACAGTGGGAAATACGAATGCACGAATTTCACCCGTGAAGAAAAAAGGTGACCATAAGAGGTCAGATCACCAAGAAAAGTGATAAACATAATAAAATAATAGTGAAGGCAAATATTTTTAAAGTAATGCGTTATTGTTAAATATTATCCACGGCGAAAGAAAGTGACCATACATGATTAACTTCTGAAGAAAGTAGTGGATATGACAAAAAATGATTATGTGAAAATAAATAATTTTAGAAACTTATGGATTTCATGTATCGCTAAGTACTAATCATACTGTAATAATCATAATAATTAGTACTGGTCATGACCGTATACGATTGACCTCTATGATGGACATGATAAAAGTGATAAAGTAATGATAAATAACTTGGAAATTGATGAATCGTTGATTGATTATTGCTTACTTATATTATAGTGAATGAATATTACATTGTTTACTAATATTCCTAGTGAATTATGCTTAAAATTACAAGTGTTGAAGTTTTGCTATCAAAATATATCTTTTCTCATCCTTCTAAATGATTAATTAATTAAAGTATTGTAATTACGAAGTTGATTCTTGATCTATATCCAAAAAATTTTTCTACTCAAAACTTTTTCTCTCTATGTCTACCTTCCACTTTCGCCCTTTCCCTCGAAGAAGAAGAAGAGAAGAAAAAAGGTAAGTGCAAATTAGCCATTTTCTCCTCTTTTGCCTGTTTTTTTCTTTTCTTCATTTTTTTCTTAACAAAAATAACTGATAAATTCATGTTTTGGTGAGTAATTTCCTTCAAAAAATAATTCATTTCCAATCATTTCTTATTACTTATTTCTATTTTTATTTATCATTTCCAATAAGTAAAATGATTAATTCTTCAGATTAACAATAATAATTTCGTAATATTGCTGTTTTAGACAACAATTATCCATCCTTCTCTCCACTTTCAGTTATTCTAATATTTTGAAGAAATATTGTACCTTTCGAAACTTCCCTTCTCATTTAATATTTTCATCCTTTTTTTTTATAAAATGCGAAAAAAAAGGAAAGAAAAATAGATGACAGAAAGGATAAGGTTTTGTTCATTTTAGTATTAATTATTGGAGAATAATTAATGGTATTTTGTTGCAACAAATAATGTTTGATTAATTATCCGTCATTTCATTGGTCAGTTATAACCATTACATGGTGTACCCAATAATAACCAACCTTTATTCAATAGAGGTAACCACGAAAAATAGGTAAATACTGTTTAATCAAAACACATATTTTGGTTATCCAGGAAACAATAATTAAATTTTAAGGGAATGGAAACCCCAAAAAATTTGTTTAATATACCGATAAATGAGATTTAAACTATTGATAATAATTGATAATTAATTGATTATTGTTAGTGGTAGTTAATTATAAAATCATCGTTGGATATAATATTTCATTTTGCACTTTGTTAATTAAATGAACATAGCTTAATTTTAATTACTTTTCAAGAGAAAGGGAGAGAGAGAGAGAGAAAGAGAAGGAGAGAGAAAATATGTTTAACTATGTCTGATGGCATTAAGCTAAATTAAGTTAAATTATATCATTTTCACTATTATAATCGGTAACTGTAAACATTACTCACCCTTTCCTCGTATTATTTTCACTTTGTAAGTCAACGTTACCATAATTGCCCCTCCTGTGATAATTCACAAGTGATTATTTGATAAAATTCCGATGATTTGCAATCTGTACTAACATTTAATTAACTAAATATTTAGATGATTAATGATTACTTAATGCAAATGAATTGGGAAATGCTGACAGATTTTTCTGATACTATCACAGATTTTAATAAAAGAAAATAACAAATAAGTCAGATTGATAACAAACAATTATGAAAATTTGTTTAACAGAAACTCACTCGAATGGAAAATTTTTCTATCCAATGTTAATTAGCACTAATTAAATGTATTTCTATTAATCGAACAATGAATATTTTACCATTACCATTACCATTTGAATTATCAATGTACACATAAAAACTTCGCCATATATTTTTTATACTATTCAAAACTATTTGAATTAAGCCTTACTTTTTTAAATTATACTTTACTTCTAATATTTATTTTCGTTTTCGTTTTTGTTTTATTTTGTTTCGTTATTATTTTTATTTCATTTAGTTTTTAAAAAGATCAAAGATCGAATACAGATAACTATGGTAATAATTAATGAATAATACGTCCAAACCATTTAATCAATAATGTGGTTTTTAAACTAGCAGTTCTTATCACAACCCTTTCAAGTTAATACTTGATAAAATGTAAAAGTTTATATCAGATCTTAACATCTGTTATCACTTAAGCAAAAGATTTTTCCATTAAACAAACAAATGATACTTGAAAGTAAGAAATGAAGAAAAAATTGGAAATTAAAATGAATTTGAAGAAAGAGAAGGGTTTTTATAAGATTGCTGTGAGAATGAAAGTTCAAGAAGAAGAAGATGTTGATGAAGGCGAAGTAAAATGATTGAAATGAAGGATGAAAACCATGCAATCAAAAATCTTCTTCTATTATCAAAATGTTCAATATTATAATCTCATCCAATAAATCAATTGATAATCATCGAGCAAATAATTACAGTGTCATATCACAATGATTATACAATATAGTTGATGATAATCAAACAACTAAAATATCCTATCATTATGATTATATTATATAGTTAATTAAAAAACCAATTCTACTATCATACTGTTATAATTGAACGTTGTATAATAGTAACATAAACAACCACACTTATTAATCTGTTAAATAATAAATAAAAATAATAATTCAATTATTAATTTGCTTAAATTAACTATTAAAACGCATCTTTGAAATGTTATCGACTTCTGAATATTTGAATGGTAATATAATTATAATAATTAATAATATTAAGCAGTTTAAAAATGTGAAAGTTGGAAATCGAAAAATTTTATTTAATAATTTTTTTCTCCGCTAAAAAATTCTTTCCAATATAATCATCGACTGATAACATATGATGAATATATATGTATAATGAATGGATGATAATACGAAAAGTGATTTAAATTGAATATAAATAATTGACATTGGTAAATCAAATTTTAAGCATCTATTTTCTTCTTTTCTAATCATTTGATCATCAAGTTTTGCTGATAAATTGATTACCAATTGTCATATGCCATTCGTTTTTCTTTTTTTGTCGGAGGATTTTCGGTTGATTTTTGATTGTTATTTTAATGAGATATTAAAAAATAGGCTGAAAATTCGCTTCACTAAATGAACCAAAACGAATATACTTATATAATTTATCAAACAAATTAAACATTATAGTATTGTCCTAAATTTTATTCCTACTACTATCGTTTCGTTCACTTTACATCTTTAGGATGCAAATTAAGTGAGTAATGACTTTTATTTTATTCATTTTCTTTTTTAAACTATAAAATTCATTGTTGATTAGAAAGGGATTGAAAAAATGGATGAAAAAGGAAATGAAAAAAAGCGAAATAAAAGAAGTATGTCAATTAGATTAGATAAATATTAATTTGATTTTTGTATTTCTCAACATAATTGTCAACACTTAATTATCACTCCTTCTACTTTTTCCTCATATTTTGTATATTTCGATTTTGCATAGTTATCAAAAAATATTTATTACTCAAAAATTTTTTTCGTCTTTTATGGGTGTTTCTATTATAAATTCGTACCAGATTGTTTCTTGACCTCTTTCACTGAATTTATTCAAATCTGTTTGTATTATTTAAAGGCCTCTTTTTGTCACCCCTGAAAAATTATATTTTAACTTCAATCATGGATCAGAAATGTGGAAAAAATAAGGATGAATAGTAATAAATTGTCTATTGCTGCAATAAAATAACATTGAGGCAACAACTGAATTTAGTCGCTTTTTTGATCATTTTTGATTTTGTCAACAAATGATGATTTTCTGGATAATTGATATTTAAATTCCAACAGATCAATTATAATTTTCACATGATTCATGTTTCTTTTTTCAATAAAAATGTTAAAAAATTTGTCAACAAGTTCATGTTTGGTCATTTTCTGAAATCAAATTTTAGTTTAAAATATCGTCGATTATACATGAATCATAGCATTACAATGATTTCTAATTTTTGCTTTCTTTTGCCAAATAATAATAATAATAATAATAATGATAATAATAATAATAATAATAATAATAATAATAATAATAATAATAATAATAATAATAATAATAATAATAATAATAATAATAATAATAATAATAGTATAATTACTATAATAATAATAATAATAGTATTATTATTATAATAATAATAATAATAATAATAGTATTATTATTATTATAATAATAATAGTAT